AGGCAGGACTGACAATAATGTCATTTTGCTGGTAGTGCTGGTGCTTCGAAAATTTAAATCCATTTCATACTTGTTTTCTGTTCTCTGGTTGTGCCAAAGTTAGTTTCAGAGATGATTTGAACGGAAGAGGCGAGACAGTTTATTCGTCTTGCCGTGCTTTGATTCATTTCGTTTCCCCATGGTGTTATCACTTAAGGTAAGCAAACAAGAATGTAACTTTAAATTTTGTCATGAAAATTTAAATAGTTGAAAGGATTTTCCATTACATTCGGGTGCACCGAAATCTAGGGTAACAATGAACTTGCTGTCTGTAAATATACAGTCAATACTGTGTCCAGCATCGTTTGAACTTAAACTGACACGCGGATATTTCTCTCAGATTGTGCTTATAGCATGGATCACTCGACTACAGTGTGATATTATTCATAGAACTGTTAATTTAAGTCACTTGTCCTGCATTCACAATTTATACTGACACATTGATTCAGAAATGATATGTTTCCATAGGTATTGCTTAATAACATAAATTTCTTCAAATAAACCCTTCGAAAAACAAGGATACTGAAACATCCAGAATGAATCTTTTGCTTAATTATTCCCAATGATGAATGAGTTAGGTGACTATTAATATTACGACATTATTCCTCCGACATTTTTTGTATTTGTACAAAAGTACGGAAATGTCTGGCTTCCTGAAAATCCAAACTAGCTGTCGTGATCTGAATTCCTGAAACACTGCATTCAATTGAGTCTGGGTAGAGTACAATACGTGAGGAATAGAATTTCAGAGTCGTGATCAAGCGTCAGTCAAGGAACAACGATGTCGTAATACTCCAATTATTTTTGTCTTTGTTCAAAAATATAGGAAAAATATAGGCTTGGCCAGTGTTACCGAAAATCCAAACACGTGGTGGTGATCTGTATTAATGAACCACTGCATTCATTTGAGGCCGTAGAAGTATAGAATATTGATCAAGTGCCAGTCAAGGAGCAATGATGTCATTCCAATCAGGATGAGGACATGTAGTTGCTGCTGTTTCCAATTTCTGTGCACCTTCATAGCTTGCTGTGGGTGCAGTTTTCTTTAAGTTTTGTGAAGGAGTTTACCCGAGTTGTTGCAGGTAAAGCTGCTGGCGAAATTCCTGTGGCCTAACATCGGTGGCAAATGCTTTATCTTCTTAAGCTAATGGACAGGATGCAAATCATGCCAATTGATTTGTCCCAGGTGCCGTCGAACTTTTGAAAGTATGTTTTAGTTTGATGTAACAATATAAGTAGCGAACATTCCTTCATAGACCTGGCTTGTATATTGCTGACAGCGAGCACTTTTTTTGGGAGTCTAAAAGTGAATTAAACAGAATATCCAACGCCTGTTCTCCACTTGCACTGAAAGGATGGATATCCCAGTTCAGTGTGTATGTGTGTGCGTGCGTGCGTGCCTGTGTGTGTGCGTGTGTGTGTGTGTGTTTGTGTGTACACACAATCTTTCTTTCCCAAACTCTTTAAAAATTTTATCCTCTTTGCTCAGGGTCATGAATTATTCAATGAGATATGAAGGCTTCTTTCTCTTTTTGCTACTCGTATTAAAAACCTGGCTCTAGTTCTTTTAATGAATCCCTGCCAATTTGACTTAAAATTTTTAAGGTCAACGTAACTTTGCATGAATATATTTTTTTTTTCATTTATTCGAGACAATTCTGTCAGTATTAACTAGTTAAGTACTATATTCCCAATTTTGTGATATTTTTTAACCATAGTGCAGGGAGTGTCGGAAATGTCCGGGATGAAGATGTTCAAATTTGGCCCATTAATTTACAATCCCATTTTCTTGAACTACTGAAATCGACAAGAACTGCACTTTTCATTTAGAAGTCATGAGATAAAAACTTATCATTTCCTTTGAATTTCAGTTGCTATCTGCTGTCTCTCAGATATGCGGCCGTGGACAGTAACTTTATTCATTATCTTGAAGAGTACCTTTCATATTCCAGAAATTTGAATACATTATGCACTGTCTTATAGACTGCTTGATGTATGAACAAAGGAGTTTGATTTAAATATATTGGCACCATTTTTTATAGAATTAGAATAACAGCATAACGTTTTAAACAAACAGAGTATCTTGTAGAAACGAAGTAGGTCTGGCAGCATCTATGAAAAGGGAAACAGTTGACGTATCGAGTATGGCACGACTACTCTTCAGAATTGTTTCTCTCTACACATATGCTACTAGGACTGCTGGTTTCTGCAGCGTTCTGTGCGTTTGTTTCATATTACGATACTCCATATTATTTTACCCCTGGTCTGTTGTCTTATTTGGTTCACTGTATTTTTGTGAATGGGTCTATATTGTCAGAGTAGCAATTGGAGAGAGAAATGGTGAAGTCGTTGGGTGGAAAACACTTTGGGTTCATTGGAAGAAGAGCGGCGAGGGACTGATGAAAGAATAAATTTCCATAGCCAAAGAGGTTGTTCAGAACATTTGAAGGAAACGCTTGAATTTAGTTTGTGAGCTTTCGAGACCAGGAGTGTGTCGTTAGATTTCTACAAATGATTACATAATGTGTCTATTCTTTCAGGTGCACGCGTATTCCAGAAATATACCTGTCAGATGACAGAAAATGAACTCAGACGTGCCAACATATTTGATAGAGAAGTAAAATTGCTGTGAATGTGTATTCCTTGTGCACATTTGTTTGTACTATGCTTTCAAGATTTCAAGTTGTGTATCTGTCAGATAAATTGAATTGTGCTATATAATGTTTATTAATCCAGAAACAACAACATTCTCAGATCAGATGAAAAAGAAAATGATAATGAATGTCCCCATTAATTATTTTTAGAAGTTCTTTTTCGTTTAACAGTTAGAGAAGTGCATGAAATATGAACTTGCAAGTTACATTGACCATTTCAGTATTCAGTTCGTAACCTAGTTATGAATAACTGACATCTTAATCCATCACTGCTCTTTTATAAATTATGTATTTGTCAAGAAGAAGCAATTGGGAGAAGATTATTCAGGAAGCAGTGTTCGAAGTAATCTTTCCCTTCAACTACTTGGATGTAACGCAAAATCCATTCGGTACTTAATGAGGAAAGTCATATAAAACGAGAAGTGAATAAATTATTTCAGTTTTTTATTTTCCAGTCAATGTATATTAAGTTTTAAGTCGCATTCAAAAATGACAACCGATCTGCATTTTAGTTGTTGTCAGTAATTTGAATCTTTTTATTCCCCATCGCGATTGACGTCTAATTGAATTATGGATATTTCAGTCAAATTGAGATGACTTTATGAAATCTAAATGAATGCTACAATTAAAGAAACAAAAACGTTGTTCCTGTTGCACTTGTGTAGCAGAAGTGCACTGGAAATAATATGACTATCTTGCTAGTAACACTGTTTCAACTTGAAGGAGGCAGTGATCTGTGTTAAAATAGATTATATCGGAGTAAAATGGGTAGATCACAGTAAGTGCACAGACTCTCAGCTCGTTCCAATTGCAAATGATGTCCTTTGCAATGTTGCAACAGAAATATCACGTGAGAAAGTAAATGTTTAAAAAGGAGTTCAAATGAATATAGATGTTCCAAAAGAATCAGAATTATTCTGCAATATCTCCTGTCTCAACTCGCAACCAACATTGCTTCTGCAGCCTTAGTTTTTAACAGTCCTCACAGCAGATGCAGTGCTCAAAATAATGCCACTGATCTGACGTGGATTTGTTATTTTATAAAGCTGTTCAGTTAATAAGAAACGTCAAAAGTCTGAGACGTCACATTAAACTCAACAGCCTACTTTGTACAACCTTACTCAGTACTTCAAAACATTTTCAATGTCGGCCCAATGACTTCTTTTCAAACACATCAACAAGGTTCTTACGATTTTAATTTTCGTGGCATGTATGTGACAGTGTACAATGTAACAGGTTCGAATTCTGAAAACTATGGCAATACTTCAGCAATATATGGTAGAGAACAGCCGATATGATGGGTGGTTTAAATGTGTTGGAAAGAGTACATGCTGAGAAATGGAAAGGCTGAATATTTTATTCTGACGAATGAGGATAATATCCCAGTAAACACACCAGCCTACAAGGGTGTATTATATTTTTGTCGCACATTTTCCACTACACGCTACATTCCAAAAAAAAAAATTCATAATCCAGGGACATTGCCCACGAATCACAAAGGAGTAACAAGATGATTTAGGTCGGTGAATTCAGGTTTCAAGACAATCTTTACAGATAGAAATAAAATTATTCAGAGTTTGAAAACAACCATTTCGATGTTTAGAGACTATTTAAAAGTTGGAAAGGAAAAGAATTTCGGAGGGGGAAACTAAAAACCCTCAAAGTTTATCAGAAAAATAACTTCAGATTAATTGTAAACTTTAGCTTAATTTAAATTTAAAATACATTTCGACTCCCACATCAACTTGCGATAGGAATGCGATATATTATCCATGAACATCGTTAACAGCTCAAGCTGAATCATAAAAGGCACAAAGCAGGTTCATCACCATCCTACCCCCAGTGCAGTTGAACGTGGGTAATACATACTCAGAGCTTCAATCTGTGGGCAACAAGGAGAACAAATGGAACTAATTCAGCAATTTGTTCAAAGTAGCAGGACAGGCCCTTGGAGCGAAAGACCTCCTTCTTTTGTTTTGACCACTAGAATTATTTTTAAACGATTACATATTAAAATGTTTTTTTTTGATACATGGTAAACCCATAGGCCCTGGGATTGAGAAAATTGCGAATTACTGCTTAATGTTACTGATGACTAACGCTTGTGATGCTTTTACCATGTATTCAGCAGAGCAGTATAAAGCTGAAGGTTAAGTGCCAAATGTTAAAAATGACTTAACTCTCGGGAGTTCATTGCTCACTAAGTACTGTTCGTCGTTATTTATTTCAGTACTGTTGATCGAATACAGCTGTTATGCCCATGAAACTTTTGTTTTGACCACTGGGAAATATTAATGCTCTCTACAGGTATTGTAACAATGTTGAGTAAGTCGGCAATGCAGCACCGAGCAGAACAGTCACACCATCAACGCATGGATCCCAAAGAGGCTCACAAAAGGTCCAATTACATTGAGTTGGCAGTGTCTGTCTATGTGAAAGCCAGTTGGTAAAATTGAGAAAAAGAATCACAACATTTATTCGCTGCAGAAATTATAATTCCTTTTTTATAAGTATTGCATGAAATGATGATTTTACATTTCCAGATATCATTCATTTTGCAAAGAAACGGAAATTCTTAGTCCGAGTTTTGTTGTATCTGTTTAGTTTATTTATAAGTGTTGCGTTGATTCTTGGCACGTTAGTTCTCATCCCTTTATTTCAGGTAGATTTGTCGACACTCGGGTTGACAGACACTCGGGTTGACAGTACAGGTAATTGCACGTTATTTTCAAAAGAAGTGGAACCCCTACATTCTGTTGTAACCTATCAAACACGAAGTTGTGGTAATAATGCACACAATGTTGACGTGTTAATCAACCGTTTGTTCATAACTGAAAGGGGGGTGCATTACTCCTGAAGGTCTCTAATTGCAGGACCCTGGAGCGACGAGTGTGAACATTCATGACCCACTTATAGTGACATTCTCCGATAGAGAACCAGTCAACATGGCAAGCCCAAAGTTTCAGCTTCCACTCACACTGCTCTCCTCAGATCGAGAGATGATGAATGACGAGAGTTTGAAAGATCAATTCCACACACAGTTCTGCTGCCCAAAAAGCGTTTACATTGTTTCACTCGCTACTGAGCACTGAAGTCGTGTTCGTATGCGTCCCATAATATTTCTGGCTTTGACAGATGGAAATGCCGTTTTATTTTCTGATGGTCACAGGGAGGATCTTTTGAGTTTTCTCGCTACTAAGTGCACAACATGACAGACAACAGGCCATTACTTGTCCTGCCTCTCGCGGCTTTCCAGAACGTATTTTTTGTTTCTGAATAAAGTCTTGGCAAAGATCTGTAGCTCGGGTTGTGGATGAGAGTGTTGACTTGCTTGCCGAGCTGGCTTTTTTTAGTTCGGAAGTTTCATCACCATGCTAGGTGACATCATCAGTGGAGTCTCCGATGAAGCAATGTTATTCTCCTCCGCTGGTAATTTATACCGACGGTTCCATTGTGGTGATAACTGTCATTTCCGGTTTTGATCTGTATGAATTTATATATGGGGTCAAATTCTATATGTTTGTTGATTGGAGTATGGGTGGAGAACCATGTCCCTAGGAATTCCCATGCGTGTCTATGTTTGGCTTGGGTTACTACGGTTACTTTCTCCCAGTTAAACTGATGGCCTTCATTGTCTGAATGTACAGATATTAAGGAGAGTTCATTGTGCCGTTTTGCTGCGGGCTGATATTCGTGTATTCTGTTGGTTAGTTTCCTTCCTGTATGTCCGATGTAATGTTCGTGGCAGTCGTTGCATGATACTTTCTAAACCACGTTCCTTCTGCATGTTATTGGAATTGAGTCTTTAATCCTTGCAAGTGTTTGTCGTAGAATGGCTGTGAGCTTGTGGGCCACTCTGATTCCTAGTGGTCTTAGGAGTCTTATTGTCAGTTCCGATGTGTTCCTGAATTAGGGAAGTGTGGTAAGTGTGTTAGGTCGTATTGTGCCCTTCTGTTGTTGTCTGATATGTAGGCATCTGTGAATGAAGTTGTGGGGATATCCATTTAAAGTGAAGATTTTGTATCAAGGTTTTTCTTCTTCCTGGCGTAATTCTGGAGTGTTGCAGTGTGTTCTGGCCCTTTTAAATGGTGTCCCAATGCAGCTTTGTTTGTGGACGTTGGGGTGGTTGCTGTGGAAGTTGAGGATTTGATGTTTATAGGTTGCTTTTCTGTATACTGAGGTTTGGAACTTCCGGTTTGTCACTCATTCTAGCTTAACATCAACTTCCGTTTCTGGATGTTAATGGTTAAAAATCATATATTTTCGGATGATCGTTAATTCTGGAAAGTCTTCATTCAGCTTAATCGTTGTTCACAAAATCTCTAATGTTTCACGTGAAAATTGGGCCCTGAGACGAGTGACTGGGGGAAGCCATTGTGATGGCTGAACTGAAGGTAACTACAATGGAAGGTGGGAAGGATTAGATGACAATCTGTGGGATCTGAATGCTGGTCACGTTGTATGCAGGCAACTTGGATGCGGTTATACCTTAGAAACGTATAACTCTTCAAAGTACGGGAGAGCAAAGGACATCTGCAAGTTCTTGGTGTCCAGTGTCATGGACAGGAAACACGGCTGCAAGATTGCAGGACTTCAGGACCATCGATTTCGAATGGCACTGATAGCGGTGCTGTAGGCGTCCTCTGCTCAGGTGAGAGCAATCTTCACAGAAAAACCTGCTCATAAATGTCAAAACAAATATCTACCTGCTGAGTGAATTCAGAATGTACATCACTTGCTCTGCAGTATCTTCAGAACATTTTTTTTAATCTCTGGAGTGAAAGCAGACATGGGCCAAATGAATGAACGTGAGAAATTAGGAACTTTTTTGATACAAACACAACAATTTTATAATCCAAAAGAAAAGCGGCCACATGTGCAAACGAAATGTTTCAGTTCTGGTGAACAGTCACTGGACTGGAAATTTTAACGCCACTTTCTGCCCATAGATGCTGCCAGACAGCAATTTCTGATTTTGTGAGACATGATGGCATCGCAATAGCAATTTTTGATGAGAATGGCTGTAACAGACGTTGATCAGATGGGCAAAAGGCCCGATGTTTGGCTGTCGGAGTTTAATTTAGATACGCGTGAGGTGCTGCAATTTGGGAGGATAAACCGGGGAGGAGTTAATGACTTAATGGTAAAGTCATGGTTAGTGTAGCAGAACAATGAGACCTTGTTTTGCAGACTCATAGTTCATTGAAATTGGAGGCACAGGTTGTTCATGCAGTAAATAAGATGATTGGTATGCTTGCCTTCACTGATCTGTGCTTTGGCTATAGGAATTGGGAGGTCATGTTTGGGCATTGTTTAGGCCACTATTGGAATATTGCTTCTCACTTCTTCTGTCCCTGGTACAGGAAAGATGCAGTCAGACTCGAATGGCTTCAGAATAGATTTACAAGGAGGTTGCCGAGGTTGAAAAGTTTGAGCTACAGGGAGAGGTTGAATAGGCTGGGGCTTTTTCCCAGGAGCAACGGAGGTTGAATCATGACCTTGTAGAGACTTATAATATCAGGAGGGGCGTGCATTACGTGAATATCTAAGTCTTTACCCCCGTTTTGGTGAGTCCAAAAGTAGATGGCATTCGGTTTAAGATGACAGAGGAAATATTTAAAAGGGATCCAAGAAGCAAATGTTTCACACAGAGTGTAGTGGATGTATGAAATGCGCTCCCAGAAGAGATGGTGGAGGGTGGCACAGTTACAACATTTGAAAGGCATCTGGACAGGTACATGAATAGGAAGGGTTTAGAGACATATGGGCTGATTGCTGGCAAATGGGAGTAGATTAATTTAGGATATCTGATCAGAATGGACGAGCTGGACTGAAGTTTCTGGTTTTTTTGGTGCTGGACATCTCTATGACTCAAAATTACGTTGCTTCAATCAGTAGAGGTTTTTGTGCTCTGGGAGCAACGTCTAATCATGTGATGAATTGGATAGACTGAAAACGACGGGTGAATTTCTTAGATAATGCAGGAGAATACGGATTCTGTGTAAAACAAATGTCTTGCGACGATTAGCATAGGAAGCAGCAACACTGTAATTATATGAGGCATGGGGTGTCGATGCTGGTTTATGTCGGTAGGGGCTAGTGAGATAACTCTGAAGCAACCTTTCCATGATGGTTTAAAAGGCGAGGCAATGTCTTCTGGATGACTGTAAGAGGTGCTTGCGTTCAGCAGCGCTGGAGAATGATTTGTAATGTATTTCAAATAACAATGATAACAAGGTGTAGAGCTGGATGAACACAGCAGGCCAAGCAGCATCAGAGGAGCAGGAAGGCTGAAGTTTCGGGCCTAGACCCTTCTTCAGAAATCAATGCTTGCTTTATAGAATTCTATGTGGTTGACTGGGCAGGAAACCACTAAATTACTCATCTGTAATTGCAACAGGAGTCAGTGCAACAGCTTATGTTCTGAGATAAGGAGAGTTCTATGCGGTAGATGTAAGCAGCAATTTGACTCACAGCAATTGGAAAAGCAGTTTCTGAAGAGTGAGCTCATGGAAGTGGTAACTCTTCTCTGGTGTCAACCCGAACACTCAGTCTAGAAACAAGTTCTTTTGTTCAGAATATACGTGGACACAGCTGTGATGCTGTTGTGCTGATAGAAGCCTCACTTTAACTCGATAAATGGAAGAGAAGTGTTTCTTATTAGCGGAAGAAAATAGTTTTAAAGAAAAGAGATTATGCTGAATGTACATGAAACATTGCTTGGTCAGAGCAGAACGGTGTGTGCAGTTCTATACTCCACATCAGAAGATGGATTTTTCTGGGGGGCGGGGGGTGGGTGGGGGGAGAAATGGAGAGGATGCAGAGGAAAAGCACCAGGGATTTTATTGACCTGGAGAAATTTAGTTATGAGGGCAAATTGGCCAGACTGGAATTCTTTTCTTTTGAACTGAGGAGACTTGGCACATACAGGATTGAGGTACATAAAATACAATAAGGAAGATTTCTCCTCTGTTAAGGTAGTGTTTTAATGTAGCATGTATTTAAGGTAACGAACAGAAGGAGTAGACTATATTATTTTTCATCCAGAGTGTACTGGGATCTTGTACTCACGGCCTGTCAGGGCGTTAGAGGCAGAGATGTTCATTTAAATATGAGAAGTATTCAGATGTATCCTCATGATGCCAAGGAGCATAAGGCGAACCCAAAAGCTGATGGGAAATGACATGTGAATATTTAGGTGTTTGCTTTTCATCAAAGCAGACTCAGTGCGCTGAAAATCCCCGTTCTGTGCTGAGGAGCTCTGTTAATCTGTGACTCTGTATGTCTGTGATTTGGTTCTGGTCCTTATTTATCCAACTATGTGAGATCACAACACGCAATAACTTCTCGTCCCTCTTCGGTATTTCTAATTCTACAAGTACCCGAAGTACTATTGCTCTCACTCCAATATACATATCACGTTTCAGTTACATTCTCATAAGGTACAGAGTCTGTATTCATTCACATGTGTTCACGTTCCCTGTATCATTACTTCACCTCTACCTCTCTTCACTATTTCACCGTCATGTAACTGTGATGTTGCTAGTCTAGCTTCCACAAATGTGAATGTAGGAGACGTCATTCATGGTGTCCATTACAACCGTTTCCATCTTCACAGCATAATTTATCACCCTGCAAGCTGGAGAAGGCTGCATCGTGTTAGCCACAATTTCGGGCTTTAAATCTCACCAGAACGTGTTCTAAAGGCCCACGTCGTCTTTCAGCCCCTCTAATTACAACATAGTATTATTAAATTCACCCTTTATTCAACTGATCAGATGCTGAGACCCTACCCTTAATAAATTCCCATCTGTCTCATCAAATCCGTCCATGGCTTCCTTCCTTACAGTCTCTTAATATGATCATAAACTCGCAGATATCATCGTCTAACATTAATTCTGACATGTTCACCATTCCGAATTTACGTGGTACAATCCAGGCGCTAGCAATTCGCTTTCCAAAGCGTATAACATCCAGAAAACCCTTTTGGAAACAACCCTTCGACTGAACGTCACTTTGCTCCTATTATCATCAGAAAAAAACATTTGATCACAACTCAATGTGAATATCATGAATTATCTCCCTTTGAGGATTGGTGTGGTATCTCTCCTACATATGTGCTATGTTTTGTCCTGCCATATTTTTCGCTTAAAAATGTGGCAGTTGAAGGAACGGACAGACTTTTTTTTTAACAGAGAAGGTTAAATCTACGCGGGCTGTAAAATAGGACAATCATGGATAAAGTAATGTATTGAATCAATGACCGTCATAAATTGAGTGACAGGATACAGAAAGAACAATAGATCTAATGATTGCAAAATAACTGACAGAATATTCAAAATGGAACGGAAAACTGAAACCGGCAGCATTGGACATAATAAGGCTTTTTGAAAAAATTCTCTGCTGTGTATACTCGCCGGAAGGTTACATTTAAACGATTTAAACTTTCAAGATATTCTGTTACATACTTTTATGGACCTCTCACAGAAACATTTTAAACTCTTTTTACATGTTCCTGTTTATTATGTTAGACTGAGTGATTAAAAAAAAAAACTGTGTAGTGAATGAATAATACTATGTAACGTTGTCTAACAGAATACTTACAGTTAAGGCAATCAAATGGTGGCAGCCCCTGTTCTGGTCGAGTGGAGATTTACTACAAAGATACATGGGGCTCAGTTTGTGATGACTCCTGGGATGTGGTGGACGCTGAAGTGGTGTGCAGACAACTGGGTTGTGGAAATGCACTGGATATGGCACTTCCTTCATCCGATGGACTGGGCTCAGGCCCAGTTTGGTCGAAAGATGTGAAGTGTTCCAGCAATGAATCATTTCTCTGGGAATGCTCTTCAGCACAACTGAGTCACCAAGATATCTGTTCTCATAAAGTGGATGTGAGAATTACGTGCTCAGGTGAGGCTATTCTCAACGTTCTTACTTTCCTCGAATGCTGCAGGAGACACTTTATACGGATATGTATACAGTGAATTCGAAAAAATGGAATTGAACTAAACTGACAGATACATGCTGCTCAGAGCATGAAAGAGCCAGTCTTTGCATTAACCTCAACTATCTTTCCATAAGTTACTTCTCTATCAGATATATACTGAATTTGACGTTAAAAGTGTTATTGATGCTCAATTGTCACTTCTCAACGTGAAGTAACTATTCTCCTGAATTTCCAAAAGTGTTTGCTTCCAATAAACCTTTGTGATTTCTAATTTTGTATCTAGCCACTGTAATTGTGATTCCTGTCTGTGTGTCTCTCAAATTCTTTGCGACTCGAGGAACAGGGAGTGTTTGGTTCTTTTACATTTCCTACCAGATTTCACCACATTGGACACAACTCTGTTAAACTTATATCACCCATTGTGCTCCCATACTGCCCATATATTACGTGCACTCTTGGTTGTGACGATTTACCTGAGCAGGAACCATATTCAGCAAGTTTCTTTCAACTGCAACGTTTGAAATTGTCTTGGGGTTAAAGTATTCCAAATTGTTTCTTGAAATATTAAACAGCCATGACATCAGCAACAGTTCTTGTGGATCGCCACTTCCACTGTTCTGCAAATCTGACAATGTACTTTTAACACAGACTTTTTATTTGCAGTTTCTTCTCCTCGAGCATTTCGCATATTCAATCATTGTACAAGATTATTATAGAACCTGCATGAAGGTCGTTCTAAACTCCATGTACAATGCATCTTAAGTCTTACTCATACGTAATGTTTCTGTCAAACGCTTTCAGTCGTTTAATGAGGCATATGATGTATCATGAACCAAACTAAGCACTACGAACTGTGAATGCTGAAAATCTGAAACAAAAGGACGGATAAATGTAAGAAAAACAATCGTCTGGAAAAAGCTTTGGATAAAGAACAGAGTCATCGTTTCGGTCAAGTGTCCCTTCCTCAGTTCAGGATAAGTGTCACTGGATTCGGCACTTTGAATTTGCTGTCTCTACACAGCTTCTGCCAGACCTGTTGAGTTCCTCCAACCGATACTTTTTTATATCATGTGTTATTTTAACTTCGAAAGTCTGTTCGAAATGAGAGGACACACATAGCTCTGCAGCAAAGACATAAGCGATTTATCAATCTGGATATGTTGTATTTTATGAACAGAGCACAAGGAGATGCGGCTGGTGAATGGAAAGCATCGCTGTGAGGGGAGAGTGGAGGTGTTGTACAATGGGACCTGGGGAGCAGTGTGCTCAGATAGCCTGGATTCACACGATGCGAAAATAATTTGTAAGCAGTTGGAATGTGGTGTCTTCCATTATGTTGATTATGAAACTCAGTTAATCGGAACAGGAACGGGACATATTTGGCTCAATGAGATGGAGTGTTTGTCACACGAGCCGAAGCTGTGGCAATGTCAGACAGATCCGTGGGGTCAAAACAACTGTAACCACTGGAAACATGCAGGTGTTGTTTGTTCAGGTAGCACGACAGACCTCTTCAATGTTCGGCTGGCATTTCAAACGTTGATTTCCAATGTAGTCAGCATGTTTCTTCCCATAACAGAGAGCAATATGACGAAGGAGCCGCCCATCAGCTCAAATTGCTGCCACCAAAAATCAGGAACGTCCTCATCATAAAGGTGCCAACTTTTGGAATGAGATTTCTGCTTTGTCCTGCATTCAGTAATAATCCGTTCTATGCCACAGATTTGCAACATAGCGTGCTGGATGGAGGGAGCAGCAACTGTTCTGGGAGAGTGAAGGTCATGTGCGATGAACGCTGGGGCACGTTGTGTGGTGATTCCTGGGATCTAACTGATGCCAATGTTGTCTGCGGACGGCTAAGATATGGTTTTGCTGTAATGGCTCAAGGAGGGCGCGCTGCCTCCCAGGGTGAACGTGTGATCTGGAATAATGATGTGAAGTGTAAGGAAAGTGAATCCCCTCTGTCTGACTGTCTCTCACCAGCACCAACACAAAGAGAATGTAATCACAAGGAAATTTCCAGTGTGATCTATTCTGGTAGGCACGATGCTAATTGGCACCGATCACTAATTTCACAAATTGGTGCCGGCATTTATCTTCAAAATTTAAACATCACCTTCATGCATATTTGTACAATCTCTTCCACACGATCAGATTTGATGCCGATTTCGCATTCATCTCCACCTGCCAGTGTTTATGATTGGCCCTATTATTATATTTGTGTTAGCGTTACTTTACTGACTAATGACAGTAATGCTGTTGGCGAGTTCACGATTTTGAAGCTAACATTTCTCTGGTTTTCTTGATGGATTCAAAATGTTTTTTTTTTAAAAGGCAGCTCTTAACTTAGATAAATCCGTCTGTAATCTCTTCTTTCAGGACAGGAAATTACATATATTTCCATACGTGTTCTCGTTTGCTTAACATTCAGAGTTCTGATACTCTGTGATTTGATCGCACTACTGGTGGTAATTCAGAGAAAATTACAAACGAAAGGTGAGCCTTGCATCTACCAACTGAGCTAACACTAAGCCACTGTTCTTGTTCCATATGGTGTGGAGGCTGTAGATGGTTATTGCACATTTCCGTCACTTGACCTTGATAATAATCAGTGTGAGGCGTTTCTAGTTACTTGTTTTCTTCAAGCGTCTTTACCTATTAAAAGCCACATTTAAGTTGACACCAAGATAAAACACTTAAATATTGCAAATAGGACTTAAAAGATCAAAATTGCTTTGAAATTCGACGCGTCCCGAAATAGCTGCAGAGAAAACAGCATTAACACATAATATTGAGTTGATCCAAATCAATATCCATGAGAAAGAAATATAAAGGCTGAATATTTCTTACCTTTCAACTGTGCTGCTGATGCCATTGTGCAACAAATTATTGATTGTGGCATTGTCTCTTTAATTTTAATTGACACGTTTGCCCACTGCCTCTAATTATTGATTCATCAGTTAGCATTCCTTTTGTGCATCTTCAGTTTCTGTGTCCTGATGCTACAACCCAAGATCAGTGAGTGGATGAAGTGTACTTTTCAGTCATCCCCCAACTGGCTCCCCTTGACTGAAAGATGACACCTGTTCATATTTTTTATTCTGATTTCAACACAATTTGCCTGGAAGTCGTCTCCCACTACTTGGCAATACTGATCAGCACGAATCATATAATACATTAGTTTCTGTACGTTTTAATTTACTTTAAGATCACTCTACATGGAGCAGTCCAAAAGCATAAACTTAATTTTTGATTTTTAGTGTCATTCAGGATCTCTGTATTTCATTTCCCTCAAGTTTTTGTATTCAACTAATATTAACGACGACACAAATGTCTAGTTACAATATGCGAATTCTAAAAAAAAACTTTGCTCTCTTAGCATTTTTTTTTCTTACAAGAGTGTGATCCTGAACAGTGATTTGTATGGTCACCAAGGCTTTTTATTGTCAAGAAGTGTTTTTTTTTAAGAAATGCATTTTCTTTGCTCATTGCATTAGCTGTTTCAAATTCTTCAGTCAGCATTTTACCTCACGTGCACCAATATGCGCTGAGAATATTCTTGACAAACCTTTGCACCTGGAAGTGATGATTTCTCATTCGAATAGAACTGACCATACACATCCAAAAAGAAACATTTCACTCTCTATGTTTAACATAATGAGTTTTGCATACTGGTGAGACATGTCAAGTAATCACGGCTTGTTCATTTGTTTTTCCAATCTAGTGTTGTCCACTCTGTTCAGTCAATATTGCGCAAGCTTTTCTTTTCCTGGAATTCATGAACTACAAGTGAATAGGTCGAATTTTGCTGCAGAAATAAACTCACCATTCCTGCGAGCGTTCAGCTACAAATGCTTACCAGTCTAAGCAGCATCAGAGGAGCAGGAAGGCTGACGTTTCTGAAGAAGGGTCTAGGCCAGAAACGTCAGACTTCCTGCTCCTCTGATGCTGCTTGGCCTACTGTGTTCATCCAGCTCTACACCTTGTTATCTCAGATTCTCCAGCATCTGCATTTCCTACTATCTCTTACCAGTCTATCCTTCTTTCAATAGAACTTTACACTAGTGGTAATGGTTCAAGTCCTGGCTTGTACCAAGCAATGTATGAAGAAATTGAAAATATTCCCTCTGGAGAGAAGATGGATCAGAAACATGGATCAGGTATATATTTCCTCCTTCATAGTGTGTCGTTACTGGATAAAAATGGCTTTCCTTCAATTTCCAGTTTTCAATTATCAGTGAACTGATTGAACAGTATTAATTGAATGAACATCAGTGTGTGTTTAATGAGAGGAAGAAATGTAATTTGATAATTCCCACTGACCCTCATTGGCGAAATATTATTTCTGACATTTGTTTGTAAATACGAACAGGACTATCATTTCCAATTCGACTCTATTTCCACCCTGTCCCCTTCAGATATCGAAACAATAAATCCATTCACTGACAGATTGTACACGTATACACGTGTCATGACTCTCGGTGACACAGCACCTAACAGTGCGAGCAAACCTAAAGAATTAAAATGAAAATAGATATGAACAGTCACAGAGGTGTAATCAGTGCAGACAGAAGATCTGCAGCCCATTGTGTCTGCACTGATTTTAATACCTGATGTCAAAGAATAATAATCAAATAAGATATTTTCCTTTGCTCATTTTACTTGACAGGTAATATGGGGTCATTGGATGCACGTACATATATCCAAAATAATTGACACGATTTGAGTATACTGAGAATGCAAGAATTCCAATGGGGAGGATGCTGGGTAACGAGAGTTATCAGATAACAAATATTATTCAGGTTTCAACAGGCTTTTTAATCTTGACATTAGAATCATAATAATAAAAATCCGGAAGGAACATGATATGATCATAGTTGAAATGACTGGTGAATATTTCGAACTCGGAATAGTACTGAAAAGAAAATTAAATGAAAGCTTTCTCAAAGAATGGTACATAACAATGATCAGATGTTTTTAAAGGCCATTTAATAGATTCAAGAAATACGCGTTGCCTCACAGGAATAATAACTCTTAAAGGCGAATCAGAAACAAGAAAGGACGTTGCTAGGTAAACTTAAGACATCCACTTTCTCATTTACATTCAACAAAAGTAGTTTTCAAGAATTAAGTGATTAAACGTACTGTGTGTGAAAGTGTCTGTTCGATGTGAAAACTAAAGTTTGTTTCTCATTTCTCATTGCAATGATTTGACATATCAGTTTATCTTGAACCACTGCAATCTGTGCATTGAAGACTTTCACATAGTAGGTACCATGACAAAATTCAAGTTGTTATTACAGACACGATGGAAACATTTTGTTTCCGACTTCTACATCCCAGTTAAGACCATAAAACATGAAATCACTGTCCACAAAACTAGGAGATACAGGTGCAGAATTAAGACATTTGGTTCTTCGAGTCCTCCCTGTCATCTGATCATGGCTGACCATTTTCGAAAAATACTTTCTCCTGCCTTCTCCTTGCATAATTTTTTCCTATTAATCATCTCGAGCTGATCCTTGTCTGCTTAAAGACACTAAGTGACATGGCTTCCACAGCATTTTGTCAATGAGTTCCACAGATACTGCACCCTCTGACTGAATACATTTCGGCCAATTGCAGTTCTGGAGGGCAATGCGTTCATTTGGAGATTGAACCTGACAATAACTCTCCATTTGTGTTTTTTTTTTTTTTTTAGCAATTTCTGCTTCCAGTGATTCATTCAATCGCATTGAATACTACACCAGTCACAACCTGAGTGACAACAGTCTTGAGCAGAACTCCAACAGTATTCAGGGTGTGTATGTATTCACTTGCTTTCAGCTCAATTTTGTCCTTCGCCCTTTCTGCAGTCCTAAAATAAAGATGGCAATACTCACAATGTTCTGGAATGACACTGCCACCAATATTTGCTTCATGATCACTGTCAGTTAAAAACAAAACTGCTGGTTTGGAGCCATAGAGAGATGGCCCATAGAGTCAAAAACAACCACCTAAATATTCAAATGCCATATACCAGCACTGAGCCCATAGCCTCTATAGCTTGGCATCACACTATCTGGATGGGGGCAAAAAATAGGAAGGGATGACAGAGGTAAGTGCTAAATGCTGAAAAATGGGACTAAAGCAGTTTAGGATATGTGGTTGGCGCCTGTTTGCGTGCTGCCTAACTCTGACTCGGTGTTCAATGAAAAACATCATCAACGTTATGAAGGTTGCAGCCGCTATGACCCTTATAGGTTGTTACTTCCAGATTCCCATCAATTTCCGGCTCAAAACATTTTTCCTTTCTCTTTAATTATCCCTCCCCTTAACCTAGCTCACCTTCTCTTACGTCTATGAATACTCATCTTTGAACTCTCCACCAAAGAGAAAGGTGCTTTCCTATCTGCCCCAACTATGGCCGTCATAACTTTGTAATGCATCACAGCATCACAGGGACAGCAGTTGTTTACTAGGCACCTCGAGCCTATTCTTGTATTTTGAGTTTGTGGCCCTCTGTTGTATGGTCTAATTCCAGATACATACCTATGGTCCATATCCCTTATTTTGATTTACAAAATGATAATTTATCTCAGATTTATAATCAACAAATTAGATAATGTCAACTCCTTTGGAGGAATATGATTCCAAGCCTCTACCACCTTCTGTTCTTCAAAAATCACTACTAAACGGTCTGGCATTAATCTCAGAATATGCCCCGAGATCTTGATTGATCCTAAAAGTTGAGGTACTTTTTCTTTATGTACCCTGGCCTTTTCTGTTAATATCTTGACGAATTCGCTCAGATCAACCTTCACCTTCTATTTTCAAAGCGGAATAGATCTGATTCACATGATCTCACCTCAAGTTTTGACTCCAGAAGAACTCTGGACTACCTCACTCTTCTAATCCCATTTATCTGCCAAACAGAATCTCATTTTCCATTTCTCGGTCTTGTGTGTTACAATTTGTAACTGTAGTAATCAACTTTTCTTCCAAGGCCCAATTCGTGCTGTTTATGATGATATTGAGACTGAAGAAGGTGAATTTCAGGATGGACAGGTACAACTGGACAGTGATCTGATGAGCCCCTCACGCTGATAAATGCTGCCAGTGGTGTTTGTTCACGTGGTGAGTTGATGTACACATGCTATCATGTAAACCATCGCTCTGTGCGTTCTCACTGTCGTAAGTCATTTCCTTTTAGTGATCAATGTTGCATTTTCCGAAAATCTAAGAACAACATTCAAACTTATCTGATCGCTATCTCCACAAACTGTCACTGAGATAAAGAGGTGTTACTAATCTAATTTCAGGGCAATGAAGAATAACCTTTTAGAAAGAAATACGCAGATTTTGATCAGAAAATGCACTTTGTCACATCTTTGAGTAGACAACACGACCTTGAAACAATGGTGAGATTGCATTTTGGAAAAAAGACTGCTGTTTCAATGAATCATTACCTGGCCAGTTGAAAAACATGGAAAGTGGGGTTTTTAATGTTCAAAGATTTAATCGTTGTAATTTTTGCTGCTCATGGGAAGACAGGCGCTGTGGACCTTTACTTGTAAAACACAAAGGCAGGCGTGTTTGAAATTATTGTTCTGCAGAACTGCACTCATATCAACTCCCAAGGAGGAAAGAGTCTCTCATACGTTAGAACTATAATTGTCAGTTACTCATGAGCGCCCTTGCGACTAAAACGTAGATTATCTGATCAGCTACTCAGCCATTTAAACATTTCCAGTAGGCCATTTGTAGAAACTTACTCCAATGATCTTCGTCTCCCGAGTGGCCATCTTCTATCATTGTCTAGTTTCTCTCCTCATCCCCACTGAACTCTTTTCTCTGAGTTGTTTACTTAACTATAATTAGATTTGTCGTCCAACATGTGGCATTCGCTACAATGCCAGCCAAGCTATTGCATCTTCTCTGGACCAGTATCATTAACTCTGATTCCTCTCCACAGATGCTGCGAGATGCTCAGCTTTTCTTTGAATTTTCGGTTTTGTCATTAATTTTCAGCATTTACACTTATTACAGTGTTCTGCAACCCATCTCATTCTTTTCCCTCTTCAACATCACAACGTGTAAGCGCTCCTGCTCAGTCTGAGCTACATATGAAATATAATAGCGCATTTCAATACCTTCAATGGCATTTCCAAATGTTGCAATATTCTGATATTTCTTTTCAAAGTCACCAATAAAACCTAAGTGACAGTGAAAATGATTAATAATCATTGTTCATCGTTAACAAACTGACTATGGGGCCAATAACAATGGGGCATAAGTTAACAGTGAATGCCAGGAGGGATTTCAGGCAAGCTCAGGAAAATATTCATTATTCAGAGATTGGTGGGGGCCTGGAATGCAGGAAGTTGAAACTGTTATAGTACATAAGATCTTTTGGCAGTGCAGACTTAATGGGCTGAAGGGACTCCACCGTAAGATTTGTTGGTTCCATGATACACCACTTAACATGGCCTCATAATCCTCCTGAACGCCACTCCAGTATTGTCCACCTTTCTGGGCAGCTCTTAAAAGAGCGAATTATTTCTTAAATCATCTCAGTCCAACTCATCATTTGCAACGGCTGCTCTTGCAGTGTTTCCCCTGAGCCCTCGCAGAATACCATCCTGTCCGTTCTGATGATGCATGTGTCCATGTTGGAACTCAGTACTGACATGCACTGAAAGTGTGATAAATTTTTTTACAATGTACACATCAAAGCAATAAGGATCAGAGATAGTAGGAACTGCCAATGCTGGAGTCTGAGATAACCCAGTGTGGATACGGAGGAACACAGCAGGCCAGGCAACATCAGAGGAGCAGGAAAGCTGACGTTTCGGATCGGGACCCTTCTTCAGATTTTCTGAAAAAGGGTCCCGAGCCGAAATGTCAACTGTCCTGCTCCTCTGATGCTGCCTGGCCTGCTGTGTTCCTCCAGTTCCACATTGTGTTAAACCAATAAGGGTAACATTTTGCCGATTAGCTGCAATTTTGATGACGCAGTAGAGAGAATGGGATGTTCTGACGATCGGTAGCATGGTGAAATGTATTGAGCATCACGTAAATCATCACAGAAATCACGGCTTTTATTAATCATTTCAATCAATGGGTATATGTGATGTGAATTTTCTGATTAATGAAGAAAGCAACATGTTATGTCACCAGAGAGATAATTGAAATTGTTTTCCCAGAGCAAACAAAACATAAGGTTTTCGTCATATTGGAATTTCTGCCAACATACGACGCATGGCCAATAATGTGGTTTTGGAAATATCGTTTCTGTTGTAATTAGGCTCTGGCATAGCCAGCATATACACAGTAAACCACCACAAATCAGAACAGGATAATTAATATAAAATATATTTAGTGAGATTGTTGATTGTAAAGGAAATTTGTCTGAAGCATTATTTGCTACCCACTCCTGTGCTCCTCTTTGAGTCAGATTCATGGTTGTTCTTTGCATCCAGCTAAGAACGCAGATAAAGACATACTACAATATTCCGTTTGAAATGTGGCACTTCATCAGTCTAACATTGGAGAGGCAGACTATGTCTTTACCCCCAATCCCTGCAGAGGGTGCTTCAGTAGGCAATTAACAGACTTATGGTGATGTAAGGAGAGTCACACGTGACATGACTTGAAGCAGACTCAAAATATTTTCCTTACCATTTCAGGTAAATGCCAGAGTCCATTTCAGCACGGGAAGTTTTGAGGCAGATAATATTGCAAGCCGTCGTCTCCTATCAGTCCCCAAATACCGAAAATTTTGTTTTTACTCGATACAAGCTATACTTGATTGTCATTCGACAGCATTTACTTTGTATTGAAATGATCATTTTTGCCATTTTTTATTGATTGTGTGTGGGCGTTGCAGTGTATCAATAAAATGTGATGATTACACGTTTGCGTTGGGATCCTGTGTCTCTTTTTTGATGTCAGTGTCCCAGTGAAAGCTTGTGAGTGTCAGTGAGTGAGTGAGAGTGGTTGCATTTGTCTGTGTTCGTGTACCTCTGTCCAGGGATTGTAATTGTGTTTGTGTAAGTATATTGGAAGGCTCGGAGCAGGTGGAAAGTATATTGTAAATGGCAGACAATAAAGAAGCATTAACATACACAGGGATCTCGGAATACTGTTATGAAGTTACCTGAAAGTGGCAAAACAGGTGGATCAGGATCTCAAGATGGCGTACGACGTTTTTGTCTTCATCAGTGCGGGCATTGAGTATCTTTTCTTTAGTGAAGTTGATTTGTTTCGAACTTTAGTACGGCTGCAATTGGAATATTGTGTACAGTTCCAGTCGCGACACTGCCGGAATGACATAGAGGTTTTGGATATGGTGCAGAAGCGGTTTACCAGCATGTTGCTTGATTTGGACCGTATTAGCTGCGTAGAGAGATTGCACAAACGTCACTTGAACTTCGAAGACTGAGGGGCGATATGACAGAAGTTTACAAATTGATGAGAACAAAGAATAGAATGGATAGTCAGAGTCTTTTCGTCCCAGTGTAGAAATGTCAATTACTGGATGACATAGTCATCTATGTAAAGGGGGGTAAGTTTCAAAGAAATGTGAGAGGTAGCTTTATGCACAGAGGGTCTTACGTAGCTGTAATGTGCTACCAGGGGAGCTGGGGTGGTGACGGATATGATCACAACATTTAAGAGACGTCTTGATAGATGTACGAAAAAGGAGGAAATGGAGGGCTACGGTACATAGAAAAAAAGATTGTTTGTTTAGAAAGACGCCATACATTATTACAGTCTTATTGGGCAAATGGCCTGCTCCAGTGTTGGACAGTTCTTCGTTCTTTGATACGTTGGTTGTGGGTTCGCTTGTCTCTGTCTATCACTTAATAGCTTTGCTGTTTGTCATGCAAGCAGTCTTCTTTTGCAGATTTACCAGGTTGGTATTGCAGTGTTAGTTGTGCCGTGCTGCCATCTGAATATGCAAAGCAATCAAGAACGCCCAGAGTGTGACAGTTCAGAAAATTCATCACTACTGACCGAGCAGGGTACAGCTCTTATATTCTGCACAGGGCGTGATGCAAAATCTGCAACGTCTTGCCAAATGAGGGGATTGGGGTAAACATTTGGGTGAGACAAATTTGATGCAGATGCCAAAGTTGGAAAGGGGCAACATTTTGGAGGTGCAAGTTTGGGTTTGGGGATGCGAAAATTTTGAAGTGCACAATTTTGGGAAGAGGGAATTTGGAAAGTGTGTGAATTGTAGAGCCAAGATTTGAGGGGTACAAATCTGATGGCATTATTTTGAGAGCAGAAATTGGGCGCCGTAGACAGACAGAAAAAAAAAACATAAAAGAGGAAGAGAGGAGAGAAGAAGAAATGAAATACGGAAGGTATTTCTATGTCTCTGTGCAATGGGTTCTTTGCTGTTTTGGGGAATGAATCCATTGAAATGAGGTGAACACTCTTCTCCTTTCTCTGTCTGACCCTCTTGCATTTTAAGCGATACAATGCTGGCGGTTATTTTAATGTGAATTCCCATATCTGTCTCGGTGTTTTTGTGTCTGTGTATTTACCTTTGGCTTCAATCGGACACACTTTACCCTGGAGGGATGTTTGAAGAAATGAATAAACATACACGTGATAAGTCACTGGCTCAGAGTCTGTCTCCCACTTTTGTTAAAATTGATACAGTGCCACCGTCTGGTGGCCTCCTCATGCCACTACACAAGCGGCAGATTTTGTTTCAGAGAAAGTATCAAAGCTTGTTGATCTCTCTGGTTGCACAAATGTGTCATCTTCAAACAATGTCTTCAGAGACACAGAACAGTTTGTCCGATCGAATTTGCCCCTGAGATATGAACAGAAGGAGATGAACAATCACCACTCTCCCCAGTCATGAATTCTTTCTTCAGTGAGGAATTCAGAGAGCAGATTACAAAATATGATAAATTGCCAAAAACAGAATAAGATTTATTATGTTCCCTTACAAAAGTGTTCGTTTGTAGGCGCCTGGATAGACTGGCAGTGGAAATATTCTATGTATTGTAAATGTCAGGAATACTGCCCAAAGATAAATCATTTCCACTATGCAGAGGGAACACACACTTTTCTAAACATGAGCACGT